CGACCGCTCCAGTACGACTCCTGTTGTTTATCTTCGTATTTCTGTTTACCGCCACTACTACTGTTATCTGTGCTATGACGTCCTGCTGCGTATTGCGTGCTGGCACGGCTCATAGTATGAGTCGTAGCAGAATAGGTAGTCGATTTAGTTGTACACCTGCTAGTAGTGATAGTATTAGTAGTGATCGCAGTGATAGTAGTAGTAGTAGTAGTAGTAGTAGTAGTAGTAGTAGTAGTAGTAGTAGTAGTAGTAGCAGTAGTAGTAGTAGTAGTAGTAGTAGTAGTAGTAGTAGTAGTAGTAGTAGTAGTAGTAGTAGTAGTAGTAGTAGTAGTAGTAGTAAGTAGTAGTCGTAGTAGTAGTAGTAGTAGTAGTAGTAGTGGTAGTAGTAGTTAGTAGTATAGTAGTAGTAGTAGTAGTAGTAGTAGTAGTAGTAGTAGTAGTAGTAGTAGTAGTAGTCGTGTAGTCGTAGTAGTAGTAGTCGTAGTAGTCGTAGTAGTCGTAGTAGTCGTAGTAGTAGTAGTAGTAGTAGTAGTAGTAGTAGTAGTAGTAGTAGTAGTAGTAGCAGTAGTAGTAGTAGTAGTACTAGTACTAGTAGTACTAGTACTAGTAGTACTAGTAGTACTAGTAGTACTAGTAGTACTAGTAGTACTAGTAGTACTAGTAGTACTAGTAGTACTAGTAGTAGTAGTAGTAGTAGTAGTAGTAGTAGTAGTAGTAGTGGTAGTAGTAGTAGTAGTAGTAGTAGTAGTAGTCGTCGTAGTAGTAGTAGCAGCAGCAGCAGCAGCAGCAGTAGCAGTAGTAGTAGTAGTAGTAGTAGTAGTAGTAGTGATAGTAATAGCAGTCGTAGTAGTAGTAGTAGTAGTAGTAGTAGTAGTAGTAGTAGTGGATGCGATAGTTTACGTATTAGTGGTAGGATTTGACCTTGTAGTCGGAGGCGTAGCATTAGTAGTCGCAGTATTATGTGTTGTAGTGCAATCGGGGTAGTGGCATCACTTCTCCTACTAGTACGAGCACGACTGACTAACAGTCTTACTATGACTATTTCTTGTGCTAAAGCGACGAGTGCATCCAATACTATTGCTACTTGTGTTCTACTTCTACTGCTACTATTCGTCGTCGTCTCCAGTCGTTGTCGTCGCCGCCGTTCGTTGTTCTAGTCGCCGCTGGTCGTCGTCGTCGCCGCCGCTGGTCGTCGTCGTCGCTGTCCTGTCGGGTTTTCGTCGTTGTCGTCGTCGTTGCCGTTGTCGTTGTTGTTGTCGCGCCTGTGGTCGTCGTCGTCCTCTTTGTTTTCGTGGCCTTTACCGGTATTCCTACTATTGCTTGGACTGGTGCTACCATCACTATTGGTAATAGTGCCATGCCCGAGCCCGCCGCGTTACCGTTACCCCCCAACGGCGACGGGACCCCTCCTGCCCCCCCCTTTCCCCGTCATGGACGTTACGGGGGGGAATACATAAACGCTCTCGTGTTTCACGGAACAGCCCCGAGTCCAACAGAAAGTTTCTGGCGGCCTATGCCACATTGGGTGCGAGCTAATCGTTCAGATACCGCGCTGATGAGGCAGCCACAAGTCTCAAGCATGCCAGCCTACATTCGATTGCCCTTGTGCCAAGCCACCCTGTACACCAGCCAGAACCTGCACACCTCCTTCCCGCCTGCACCCTCTGCCGATCGGTGTATTGCTCCTTTCCCGCTCTCGTGCCTTCCTCTCTCCAGCCGGTGACTCATCTGACCCCGCTACGCCTCCCGCGCGCCGCCACCGTAAGCCGCGCGTGCCTCGCGCAGGGGCGTACCTGCAGCCACTCTGGCACCAGGCATGGCGGACATGTCTTCCTGGGCATCGCTCGGACGTGTGCATTTTTCCTTCGGCGAGGACCATCGAGGAGCATCCTTGATCATTTGGCGAAAAAACCACGCACGAAACCGAACAAAACACAGAGAATAGACGTCCGAGCGATGGCGAGCTTCGCATCTTCTGCGGCTAAACCCAAGATTTGCCCCCGGCTAGACGGGCGTTTGACCACCCCGCTGCCTGCCGCACTGCTACCTGAAGAGTCAAGCGACGTTTGCACGGGCAGCTCACCCACCTCTGTGCACATGCTGCTTCCGAGGAAAGGTCGAGGCAGGGGGTAGGGGGGAGATGGATTGCTAATCATTGACTGGTGGCATTCACAGCGCCTCGATGGCACAGCCGTTCGTCCACGATCTGGAACCGCAGCCGGCATGTCTCACTGTGCATGAAATGTGTCGTTTCGCACACGCTTCCGCACCGCTGTCGTCTTTGCACGCCATCTCCTTGGCATGGATGCTGCACGGGCTGCCATGTTCACTCGCGTATGCACCCAGTGCGCTTACACGCACGCTCGGCTTGGTGTACGCGTGCAGTCAAGGCCGAGACGTCCGTCGACCGGTTTTCCCGAGTCGCCCGCCCTCGGATCTCTCGACACAGGGCCCTGCCGCGGCCCCCAGACCCCAAAAATGACGAGCACACCCCCTTCGCGCAATGCGCTTCAGGCATCGGGGGTCTGAAAGCGGAAAGAGAAGAGGAGGCAAGCCGCCACGATTCTTGAATGGCGGTGGGTGCTTGGGAGGGAAGAGAGCTGGGCCTGTTTGGGCTAGACTAGGGGCTCTTCTGGGCTAGATTGGGCCCATCGGCAGCAACCGAACTCGGCTAGGAAAAACTCGGCCAGGCTGAACCCGGCCAGCTGAACCCTGATCTCGGCCAGGCCGAAATCGGCCAAGCTGAGATCGGCCAGGGCCGAGTTCAGCCTGGGCCGATTTCAGCCTGCCCCAGTGTCGCTTGGCCGAGTCCTCCTCATGTCCGTCAGGGCCAGACTGGGCTCGTCGTTGCCCTCGTCCTCGTCCTCGTCGTCGTCGTCGTGGACGTCCTCGTCGTCCTCGTCGTCGTCGTCGCCGTCGTCGTCGTCGTCGTTGTCGCCGTCGTTATTGTCGTCGTCGTCGTCGTTGTCGTCGTCGTCGTCGTGGTCGTCGTCGTCGTCGTCGTCGCGCTGCCCCCGCGCGACCTGCTGGCCCGCCTCCAGGCCGCGCGGGGCGCCGCCGTCGGCGGCGTGCTGTCCGAGGGCGAGCGGGCCGCCCTCGAGGAACCGTGGGTGCAGAGCGCGCTGCGCGACCCGGAGGTCACGGCCCGTTGGCCAACGACGACGACGACGACGACGACGACGACGACGACGACGACGACGACGACGGCGGCGGCGACGACGACGACGGTGGCGGCGACGACGACGACGACGGCGGCGACGACGGCGGCGACGACGGCGACGGCGACGGCGACGACGACGGCGGCGACGGCGGCGACGACGACGACGACAAAGAGGAGGAGGAGGAGGAGGAGGAGGAGGAGGAGGAGGAGGACGAGCAGGAGGAGGAGGAGGAGGAGGAGGAATAGGAATAGGAATAGGAGGAGGAGGAGGAGGAGGGGGAGGACGACGAGGAGGGAGGGAGGAGGAGGAGGAGGAGGAGGATTGTTGTTATTCTTATCATTGTTCTCCTCCTCCTCGTCCTCAGCTCCTCCTTCGCAGATCCTCCTCCTCAGCTCCTCCTCCTCAGCGCCTCCCCCCCCGGCGCGCAGAGGGCGGCCACGTGTAAGGGTGACTTTTCGGCATGGTGACTTCTGGTGCGCGGCCAAACGTTTTCGGGCGGCTTCGTCTCTTCTCAGAGGTTTGCTTACCTCGAGGTGCGTTCCAGCATCTGCGGCTCGCCGGGAGCTGTCGGGGGGGTCCCAGATCGTCCCGAAGGGCCTCTGGAGTCTCGAGGTATGGCCGGAAAGCTAAGTGGCCCTTTGCCAGGGTGACCTTTGGTGAGCGGCTTTCGGGGGGGAAACCCAGACACGCAGGCCGCCACTGTCAGCAAGCCGCGTACCACAGGTCACTCTTGCCCAGGGCCACCCTTGCGTGTAGCCGACGGGGGGCGTGGGGCGAGGGGGCGAGCGGGCAGGGGGGGGCGGGCTTCTCAGAAGGGACCTGTGGATCTCAAGAGTCCAAGCCTCCTAAGTGGGGATGTGGTCGGAGGACCGCGCCGCATCGCCGATGCATCGGCGATGCGGCTCGATGAAAAGCCAGTTGTTCTCCACGCCGACGGCGGCGATGGATCGCCGACGTCGCCGGCGGCACGCTCCTCCGACCCCATCATGTGCTCCGACCCCATCGGGGAGGCCGCTAATCCTGACCTTCCACAGTGCTATCCTCTGGCCCTCCTGAAAGGTCAGGAAGAGAGGCAGCCTCTTGAGGCGGAGGGCTTCTCAGAGGGGACCTGGGGATCCCAGGCGGGAGCCCCTGCAGGCGGGAGGGCTTCTGAGAGCAGCGCCCCCGACCTCTGGCGGATGCGTCCGCCTGGCATCCCTCCTCTCCCTCCTCCTCCTCCTCCTCCCCCTCCTCCTCCTCATCCTCCTCCTCCTTTTCCATTGTCCCTTCTCCATTATCCTCACTCCTCCTCCTCCTCCTCCTCCTCCTCCTCCTCCTCCTCCTCCTCCTGCTCCTCCTCCTCCTCCTCATCCTCCTCCTCCTCCTGCTCCTCCTCCTGCTCCTCCTGCTCCTCGTGCTCCCTCGCCCCACGTCTCCCGCGCCTGCGCGCCGCCCAACACGTGGTCTTCGGACCTCCGCGCGTGCCCCGGGCAGGCCCCGAGAGCCGACCGCGCGGAGAAGCTGCAGCATCGCGAAGTCGGGCACCGCCCAAATCTACTTCTACTTTTTTTGGTCGCAGCCGCAGGCGAATGCGCCAACGGCGAGTAAGTCACCACCCACCAAACCACCCCAACCCAACCCGAAGGCTCAGATTTACCCTCCATTTCCAGTGGGGGGGGGGTCGGGAAACATCGAAAAAACGCATGTGGAACCCTTACCCCCCCCAACCCGAAATTCGGGTCTTCGGGTTGGGTTGGGGTGGTCTGGTAGGTAGTCAGTAAGGTCCGAGCGGGCCGCGCAAGAAGAGCCTCATCGCCCAAAGCCGACGGGCCGGCGACCTCAGCGGCGCTCCGGCGGGCGGGCCGGCGAGGGGGGGCGTGCGAGCTGCAGCTGCCAGGGACCAGGTCCAGGAGCGCGCACATGCATGATTCACCAGGTCAAGACAAGTTCAAGCATCGTCAAAACAGCACGAGGAAGCATCCCTGGCTCCTCCTCCCTCTGCTCCTCCTCCTCCTCCTGCTCCTCCTCCTCCTCCGCGCAACCAACCAGGTTTGGGGCAATCTACTTATACGCAGCACCCCGCAGTGGCGCACTTGCAGATCAGAGCGAGGGGGCGGCGGGGTCGTCGGCAGGCTGCGAGGCTCCGAAGCAGCTCGCCGCAGGCGCCGCTTGACGAGCCCGCCGCGGGCGGGTCGCGGCATGGGTCGCGGGTGGGCCGCGGCTGGGTCGTGGCTGGGTCGCGGGGTGGGTCGCGGGGTGGATCGCGGGGTGGGTCGCAGGTGGGTCGCGGGTGAACTTAGAAAGGGTTATGGGCTGTTCTTTCGGTTAGTCATCAATTCGTGCCCTGGTCCGTGGGCGTCGGGAGCGCGGCGGGGCCTTCGGGTTCCAGCCGTGCCCGCGCTGTTTTTTTGCGCTGGGGGGCATGATGTGCCCGCCCTGCCGCCGGGGCGGGACTGCGCGCGCTTGTGCTATCCCGCGTTCCTCGCCCGCTCGTCCTAGCCTGTCGTCGGCCGTGAATGCCCGACTACAACTCTGCAACATCGCAGGCGCGATGCGCTTGCTTTGCTGGTGGGCCCGCCGTCTGTCGTGACCGACCCGAGAGGTGGTGCGGGTGCCCTGAACCGTGAGCGTTGGGAGGGCCCCCCTCGGTGGCAGCGCATTTTGCTTAGATCTCCTGGACCCGTGCCTCCTCGGCCCCTGCTCAGGACTGTCCGTCCCCTCGCTCGTGGTTGGGTCACGCCTCCGTCCCTCCTCCCCGTGGCATCCTTCCGCCGCCCCTTCCTCCAAGCGGCGGTCCGCGAGGGGGGGAGTGAGGAGGAGAAGGCCTTCTCAGAGGGCGGCGGGACTTCTCAGAAGCCCTCAAGCTCTGCGTCTTCGGGGAAGGCTTAGGAGACTCCTCAGAAGGCCGGGGGTCTTCCGAGCCTTCTGAGAAGGCCTTCCCCTTCTCGCTTCCCCCCCTCGCACGCCGCCGATCTTACCACGATCAGATATTGCTCGCCATTGCGATTGGTTATCGTTGGCCTCGCGAGGGTCCGTCTGCCTCCGCTGTTCCTCCTCCTCGACTTACGTCGGGCGTGGCCCCCTACAGGAGGAGTGCACAATGATAGTACAAACATAGTCTGGGGACGATCTGTTCTAGCATTGTTTGGTTAGTTTGGGGTATGTTCGAAGTATCATTTATTTTTCGTCCAGAATCCGCCTGTATCGGGCCAGACGAAGGGGGGGGGATTGGGAAAGGGGGGGTGCGAAATTTGGTGCATGCAGCTGGTTTCGGCCCCGCCGCCGGGCCCATTCCTCGATACATGGGCGCCTCCCGGCGCCGGGAGGCGCTGGACAAAATCAGCTACGTGAGCTGATTCTCTACCCTGCCCTTTGCGATCCCCCCCTTTCGCCCGGCCCGACTGCAGGGGGGCATGCCCGACCCAATCCTCGACCTCTTCTCGGCCGCCTCCCGACCCAATACTCAGAAATAGTAGAAACAGAGTCTGGGGAAGAGTTGTTCTAGCATGGTTTGATCAGTTCGGGGCATGTTCGAAGGATCTCTTGCTGTTCGTCCAGAATCCGCCTGTGGGGGGACATGCCCGACCCAGTCCTCGACCTCTTCTCGGCCGCCTCCCGACCCAACACTCAGAAATAGTACAAACAGAGTCTGGGGAAGATTTTTGTTCTAGTATGGTTTGAGTAGTTTGGGGTATGTTCGAAGTATCTCTTGCTGTTCGTCCAGGATCCGCCTGTGGGGGAGGAGGAGGACTGGGGAGGAGGAGGAGGAGGAGGAGGAGGACTGGGGAGGAGGAGGAGGAGGAGGGGGAGGAGTCCCCCTCCTCCTCCCCCTCCTCCTCCTCCTCCTCCCCAGTCCTCCCCAGGGGGGCATGCCCGACCCAGTCCTCGACCTCTTCTCGGCCGCCTCGCCCCCCAGAGGTCAAGGCGGCGCTCGCGCTCCTCACGGCCTCGGACCTGGGCGCCCCCCTCGGGGGCGGGGTGCCGGGGAGGTCCCTGGCAGCTGCGACGTCTGCCGGCGGCGACGGCGAGGGGGCGAAGGGACAGGGGCGCCCTCGAGGGCGCGACGTTCTTCGCGCTTCGCGGTTCGGCTCCGATTCCTCATCCTCCTCTTCTCCCCTGGGAGGCGGCGCGAGAGCGCGAAGTCAGTCGTGCTTCGCGCAGCGCGAGGCACCAAGCTGGGAGCCCTTGAAGTGAGAGGGAGGAGGCCTTCTCAGAAGGCGGCGGGACTTCTCCGAGGCCCTCGCGCCCTGAGAGGCTTTCTGCGTCTTCGGGGGGTCCTCAGAAGACCCCTCGGACGGCGAGGGTGACTTCCGAGCCTTCCGAGAAGGCCCTCTCCTTCTCGCTTCCCTCCCTCGCTCGTCGCCGATTGCACGCTCCGAGAATCGGGGGAGCGTAAGACCCGGGTTTGCCAGGACTCGGGTTCGCCATCGTTTTTTGACGACCGCGCCTCGGATTTTGACGAGGAGGAGTTTCGTTGGATGTCTGCAGCGGGAGGCCTCGTCAAAATGCAGGCTCGGCCTCGTCATTTTTTGACGACCTCGTCTGGGATTTCCGAGTCCCCTGTTCCCGGGTCTTACGCCCCCCTGAATGTTCATGGGTTCTCTGGGCTCGGATGTCTCGGAAGGTGGTTTCAGGTTCCGGTCGTGTCCACGTGGCTTGGATCGGGCGTGCCTCGCCGAGGCTCTGTCGCGGGAGGGGGAGGAGGGGGAGGAGGAGGAGGAGGAGGAGGAGGAGGAGGGAGGAGGAAGAGGAGGAGGAGGAGGAGGAGGAGGAGGAGGGAGGAGGAGGAGGATTGTTGTTATTCTTATCATTGTTCTCCTCCTCCTCCTCGTCCTGATCGGCGTTGTCGGCACAGAGTGCCAGGCAGGGCAAGATGGAAATCATGCATAAGTTTACGGGGTGCGCGACAACCCGTTCAGCGCGAGCGTTGCATGGGGAGTGCGAGGAGAAGGGGGATCAGAGAAACGGAGGGAGAGAGATAGAGACAGAAGGAGAGAGAGAGAGAGAGAGACAGAGAGAAAGAGAATGAGAGAGAGGCAGAGAACGACAGAGCGAGGGAGTGATATATCTATATGTATATGTATATACGGATACAGAGAGAATGAGAGAGAGAGAGAGACACACAAACGAGTAGAGAAAACGCGATCTGTTGAACCACTGTAACCACATCCTATTAGAAGCCTGCTTGCCTGCAGGTGCCCTGCGGAAATTGACTGTCCTCCAGGAGGCTCAAAGACCGACGCCGATCGATGTTCGCGAAATGTTAGCCAGCGTGGACCCCGGAGAGCGCTTTCTTGTAATGTATGCGATGCAATCCATGTGGTGCAATCTAGGTGGTGCAACTCATGTGGCGCAATCTATGTGGCGCACAGCAATGCAAATCACTGCAACGCAATGCAATGCAAAACAATGAAAAGCAACGCAAACCAATGCCAAGCCATGGAATGCGATGCAACGCAAAGCAACGCACTGCAACACGATGCAGATGCAAACCTATGCGAAGCCATGTAATGCGGCGCAGAGCAATGCAACGCATTGCAAAGCAATGCAAACCGATGCAAAGCAATGCAACACCATGCAAACCAGTGCACTGCAGTGCCATGTAATGCGTTTGCAGCGCAGCGCACTGCGACCGCGATGCAATACGGTGCGATGGAACTGCAGTGCGATGCAACGCGACGCGCTGGCCGCACACTGGCCTTTGATTGCAACAACGGTGCGGCGACGGACGGGAACGGGGCCGCTGGGGCCGCACCCGTTCCCAGTTCCTTAGGAGAGAAGTGCGATACCCCCTCCTCCTCCTCCTCCTCCTCCTCCTCCTCCTCCTCCTCCTCCTCCTCCTCCCCCTCCTCCTCCTCCTCCTCCTCCCCCCTCCTCCTCCTCCTCCTCCTCCTCCTCCTCCTCCTCCTCCTCCTCCTCCTCCTCCTCCTCCTCCGCCTCCTTGTCCTCCCCCGCCTCCTCGAGCACTCCGCATTTCTTGGGGAATCATGCTGCGTTTGCATGCGTGCCTATTGCAGTGCAGGGGGCGCGCCGAGGAGGAACCAGCAGTATACTCGTAGACTTCCGGAGCTCCGCGCGGATTTCTCGTGGGAGGTCCAGCCCCGACCCAAGAATGCGCGAGGACCTCCGACACTGCAGGTTCGCTTCGTACATCCCCACCATCCCAGGCTATTCCGTCGCGATCGTTTGCCCGCGTGTCCGTTGCCACTGCGGCTCTGCTGGGTGGTGGCAGTGTCATCGACGTGTTGCGTGTGAGCCGTCATGGGCGTCTCGGGGCAGAGGGCTCGAAATGGCTGTGCGTGCCCCCCCCCCCTCTTTGGTCCTTATTGGAGGCCTCTTGGGTGTGTCTTGGGGGCCTTTGGGATCTCCTGGAGGCCATCTGGTAGTTTCGGAGGCAATCTTTGGCGGAAGGGCTCGAACTCAGTGCGGGCTCCCCCTCTTCGGACCCCCTCGAGTGGTTTTTGGGAGGCTTCCTGGGAGGCCTTGCCGTCTTGGGGCCCTCCTGGGCCGTCTCGTGGCCGTCCTGGGGGCCTCTTCGTTTGAATTGTGGCAATCTTGGGGGCTGAACGGGAGCCTTGGGCGGTCGGCAGACTGAAAAGGCGGTAGATATCGTCAGGATCTGTCAAACACCTGGACTTTGGCCGCTTGTGAGCCCCTTGGAGCTCGGTACTTGACCAGTTGGAGGCTATCTTGAAGCCCTGTGGAAGTAAATGCTGTAATTATCACCAGAATCTGTCCAAAACCTGAGAGTGCTGGTGCAGAAATCACCACTGCGAGCCAGCGACTCTACACAACGCCACCCTCCCTCAAGGCACAAGCAACACTTGTCGGCGGGTGTCTGTGTGTATATATGTATACATATATATATATATATATAGATGTGTATATACACATCGATTTATATATACATCTATATATATAGACATGTCGATATCCGTGGCGGATTGTACTGTTTTGTCCAGCTTCGAGCGAAGAGGGAGCCGCGGACAGGGCGACCCGAGGTACGGCGGCGCAGCTGGTGCAGAACAGCGCTGGCCTCAGGGGCAAGCTGCTGGACCTGATCCGGGCGGGCGTGGTCAGGGCGCCCGAGCTGGGCCTCGACGCGGCCGCCGGGTGAGCGGAGCGCGCGCGGGTCGAGGGCGCTGGCTCGGCGGCCGGGCCGCCTCCTCCCAGATCTCTGAGGATCTGACTTGTTCGATCCCGGCAGCTGTCCTTCGTTTCGGCCCCTGGCGCTCGTCATGTCGTGCCCCCGCGGGCCATCGAGAGCGGGTCCGGGGCGACGGACCGTCCCTGGGGGAGCAGTCGGGGCTTCTGGGGCCGCGGAAGTTCCACAAGAGCAGAGCGGCGGATGCCGGGGCGCGCTTCAGCGCTTCACGTCGGCCTGCGCAGCAGTTGGCGCCGAAGAGAAAAGCAGCGCGACACGAACGTGAGCTCTCGGAGGCCTGCGCGGATCTCCGGGATCTGCGCTGGACGCCCACGGCGGCGCCTCTTGCGCCGCCCCTCCGCGCGCCAGGGAGGGGTGGGGGGGGGTCCAAGCGACCATTCGAGAAATCCGCGTGGAGCTCCGAAAGATTGTGATCATGCCGGGGGTCGGCCGTGGGGATGAGAAGATTTGCGGAGGCCCGAAGAACGCGAAAGGCGTCAGCATGCTCTTCCCTCCTCCTCAGCATTCTTCCCCGCCCCCTCCTCCCTCAGGCGTCCTTTCTCCTCGTCCTCCTCATCCTACTCCTGCTCCTCCTGATCCTCCTTCCCGAGCCCCCTCCTCCTCCTCCTCCTCCTCCTCCTCCTCCTCCTCCTCCTCCTCCTCCTCCTCCTCCTCCTCCTCCTCCTCCTTCCGTTTCTTCCCCCTATTCTCCTGCCTTTTCCTCTCTTCAGCCCCCCCCCCTTTCGCAGTCTTCCCCCCTCCTCCTTGGTCCTCCCCCCCACTTCCTTTCCTTCCCCTCTGTCCCATTCTTCCCCTTCCTCATCCACCTCCTCCACCTCCTCCTCCTGCTCATCCACCTCCTCCACCTCCTCCACCTCCCCTTCCCCTTCGTCCTCCCTGCTTCCCCCTCCCGTCTCCCCTTCATCCCCGCTGCATGAGGGACTGAGGAGGAGAGGGGACTGAGGAAGGAGGAGGAGGAAGAGGAGGAGGAGAGGGAGGAATGAGCAGGAGGGGGGGAGAAGGGAAAAGGGGGATTGAGGATGGAGGAGGGGGACTGAGGAGGAGGGGGAGGAGAAGGAGGAGGAGGAGGAGGAGGGAGGAGGAGAGGAGGAGGAGGAGGAGGAGGAGGAGGAGGAGGACCTCGAGGAGGAGGAGGAGGAGGAGGAGGAGGAGGAGGAGAAGGAAGAGGAGGCGGAGGAGGAGGAGGAGGAGGAGGAGAAGAAGATGGAGGAGGAGAAGGGGTAGGAGGAGGAGGAGGAGGAGGAGGAGGAGGAGGAGGAGAAGGAAGAGGATTTTTTAACGCTCGACCTCTGCTTGACCCCCAACGAGTGGGGACCACCTCTCCTCACAGCACAGTCCAGGGAGAGGGCAAAAACTGTACGTTCTTCTCCCTCTTGATCTGCTGCGGGTGTCGGCCTTGGATTACATAGTTCCAGGCCGTAAATCCTGCCCCTGTCTTCTTACAGGAACAGGGTTCACCCAGCTTCTTGACGCGGCCGCCTGTGCTGTAAGAGCCGCACCGACGGCAGATACAGAGGAAAGAGCCGTCCGTGCAGTCCAACAACGCACAAAGATGGTTGAACTGCTCAAGGAGTCTCGGGCACAGGCGGGGAGGCACAACGCAGTGGCCAGGCGCTGGGCGCACCTGACCTCGCTTGCCTCTCAGACTCGTGCTGCACTGCCAAAACTCCCCAGACCAACACCACTCGTGGGGCGTCTTCGACGTCTGAGCTGGTGGGGCCTGGGGCTTGATGAATTGAACGCCAGATACGTCGAACCGCGGCCAGCGCGGCAAAAGCTTGGCTGCCAAGAGGATGACAGCCCTCGCGATCCTGATCTCACGCTCGACGCGAGACAGGACGACATGGTTGGCTTGGGGATGGACACTTGCGCCCCGCTTAGCCGCGAGGTCGGCATGAAAGTTACCTGTCCTCCGCCAAGCCTCCTGAGCAGAAATCCCTGCTTCGTCTACAGATTTGTGCGCGGCGACTTTGACCAGGCCCTGGAGGAGGGGGCCAGCTCCCGCGAAGGCTTCCAGGACCGAGCCCGCGTAGGCCCTATGCCCCCCCAGGCGGTCCCGAGGCGCCCTGGAACACACAGAAATAACCGACGCACAATCCGAAAAAAGAGTTGCTGGCCCATCTAAATTGACACCAGCAGCAGCCAGTGCCGTGAACTCACCAGCCTGAGAGGACTGCGGCAAGTGAGAAAAGACAGGCCCTAGCACTCTGGCCAAGAGATGGCCCTGCCCTGATCAGACAGCAGCACAAAAGCCCCGCCAGCTCTGGACAATTCACGAATCTTAGACGGAAAACAACTGCCGTCCAGGAACAAACTGCCTTCAAAGCGTATATTCTCGGGCCCTTGGAATTCCAAGCCTGATTCCTGGAAACCTTCCTGGAAGAACTCCATCTTGACAGCGTCCGAGTCCTGCTGGCTGACTGGTTGCGGCACATAATCGCCAGGATGCGCAAAGGCACCCGTCAAGAAGTTCACAAGGCCCCCAGAGTTCTGGTCACACGCGTCCTTGGCCCAAGAGATGACCTCCTCATCCACCAGCTCCTTCCTTTCCTCCATGCATGCTTCACACTCCCATAGTCTTTGAAAGACAGAATCCACCTTAGTGTGACACAGCGGGCACAGAGGGCACACTTGGTAGCCATACCTTAGTGCACGGGAGTTGGTCCACAAGGCATTGCAGGCGAGGGCACGAGCGGAGGAGGAGGAGGAGGAGGAGGAGGAGGAGGAGAAGATGGAGGAGGAGAAGGGGGAGGAGGAGGAGGAGGAGGAGGAGGAGGAGGAGGAGGAGGAGGAGGAGGAGGAGGAGGAGGAGGAGGAGGAGGAGGAGGGAGGAGGAGGGGGACTGGGCAGGGGACCGGGAGGCCTGGCGTGTGGCGGGCGCGCGGCCCGTTCGGGTGCGAGATCGCCCGAAGCGCGCGAAGGAACCGAAGACACATCGATGAGTGATTGTGTACGAAGGACGAGATGACGGAGGAGGAGGAGGAGGAGGAGGAGGATGAGGATGAGATGATGATGATGATGATGATGATGATGATGATGATGATGATGATGATGATGATGATGATGATGATGATGATGATGATGATGATGATGATGATGATGATGATGATGATGATGAGGATGAGGATGAGAGGGGAGGAGGAGGAGGAGGAGGAGGAGAGGAGGAGGAGGAGGAGGAGGGGAGGGAGGAGGAGGAGGAAGGAGAGGAGGAGGAGGAGAGGAAAAGGAGGAGGAGACGCAGGAGGAGGAGGAGCATGAGGAGGAGGGAGGAGAAGTAGAACGGAGGAGAGGAGGCGGTGGAGGAGGGGGAGGATGGAGAGGACAGAGAGAGGACGAGGAGGAGGACGGGAGGAGGAGGAGGAGAGAGGAGGAGGAGGAGCATGAGGAGGAGGAGGAGGAGGAGGAGAGAGGAGGAGGGGAGAGGAGGAGGAGGAGGAGGAGGAGGAGGGAGGAGGAAGAGGAGCATGAGGATGAGAGACGAGGGAGGAGAGGGAGGAGGAGGAGAGAGGAGGAGGAGGAGGAGGAAGAAGATGGAGAGGAGGTGGAGGAGGAGGAGGAGGGGAGGAGGAGGTGAGGAAGGGGAGGTGGAGGAAGGAGGTATGGAGGAGGTGGTGGAGAGGGAGGAGGAAGGCGGAGAGTGGAGGAGGTGGAGGAGGAGGGGAGGAAGAGAAAGAGAAAGATGATGATGAGGAGGAGGAGGAGGCGGAGGAGAGCGAGGAGGCGGAAGGGATGAATTGGTGGTGAGGAGGAGGAGAGGTGAAGGAGGAGGACGAGGAGGAGAAGGAGGCGGAGGCAGAGGCGGAGGAGGAGGAGGAGGAGGAGGAAGAGCCATGACAGAGAAGGAAGGAGGACCCCTGTGGTGGTCCTCGCAGAAAGAGAAGGGATGAGGGAGGAGCAAGAAGGGAGGACCGAGCAGGATGCAGCTGAGCAGTATAATGGCTGCGTCGTCTCCGGCAATGGAACCAGCAACGCCAGGCGGAGTAGAAGTAGGAGGAGGAGGAGGAGGAGGAGGAGGAGGAGGAGGAGGAGGAGGAGGAGGAGGAGCCCACCTCTCGCAGGGCGCGCGTCCGTGGCGCGTGCCCCTTGCACAGCGCGCATCGCGTGCCGCCCGCGAGGCGGAACGGCGGCAGCTTATCAAGGACGGCGAGTCGGCGCTGCTGGACAGCGAGGCTCCTGGCTCGGAAAAAGGGCGGGGAGGAGGAGCAAGAGGAGGAGGAGGAGGAGGAGGAGGAGGAGGAGGAGGGGAGGAGGAGGGCGAGGAGGGGAGGAGGAGGAGGAGGAGGAGGTGGAGGCGGAGGAGAGTTGCGGGCGGTTCCCGGGGGCGCCAGACGATGCAGCAGGGGGGGGGGGTCCTGAGGGGTGCTGTGAGGCGGGGGGGAGGGGGGGGAGGAAAAGGGGGCGGAGTGTAGTTCGAGCGAGGCGTCTGGCCCCGTCGGCGCTTCGCCTCGAGGCTGCCCGGCGGAGAGGACGGAGGAGCGAGAGGTGGCGGGCGGAGGGCCTCGCCAGGGAGTGTCCGGGCGGCCGCCGGGAGGCATCGGTGGGGCCCGGGCGGGGCAGGGCGGGGCCGCTCTCCCTGGAGAGTAAACGTGGCTCGGGCTTGCGCGAGATTGCTGCAGTCTTGTACGCCCTCGCTTCGCTCCGCCTTCTCCTCCTCCTCAGCCTTCTGCCCCTCCCTGGTCCTTCTCTTTCTCCTGCTCCCTCCTCCTGCTCTTCATCCTTCTCCCCCTGACTTCTCCTCCTCCTCCTCCTCTTCCTCCTTCTCCTTCTCCTTTTTCCTCCTCCTTCTCCTTCTCCCATCTCCTTCATCCTTCCTCTTCCTCTTCCTCCTCGTCCTTTCTCCTCCTCATCCTTCCTCGTTCCTCCTCCTCCTACTCCTCCCCCTCCTCTTCCTTTCCTGCCTCCTTCTCATATCCTCCTTCTTCCCCCCTCCTTTTTCTCCTCCGTCCCCCCTCTGCGAAGACCCTTGGAACCGCTTGAACCCCAAGGTGCCCTCTGCTTATGGTGCCTCCCGCATCCACCCACCTCATCTCGGCTCCTCATCCTTCGACGTTCGGTGCCCGACTCTGTTCGGCGTTCGACGTGTTTGAATTGTGTTCGGTGTTCGGTTGATGCTCGATGTTTGCGCGTCTGCTAGGTGCGCCCATGTCAGGGTGAGGATACTACTGCGCTTTAAGAAGAGGCCGGCATACGCATCAACGTTCGGAGGTCCGCGCGGAGTTCCGAGACTGTTTGTGCTGATGCAGTTGTTTCTTCGTCTATTCGTGAGGGGGGTGTTCTCGCCTGCCCTCCTTTCCCTCTGGCCTGCTCTCCCTTTCGGCTACGGGCAGGAGTGACCCTTTGCTGGAGTGGCCTCTGGTGCGGGCCCGCTGGGGTCCCCCGATCGCTGCATGCGCTGCGGCAGCAGCAGCTTGCGCGCTTGCGTGTAGCCGAACTTTCCGCCGCGTGCATCGAGATCGAGTGCGAGCGCCGCAGCAAGAGTTGACCCCCCCTCGCCGAGCAGAAGGCGCCCCACCACCTCCCCCCTGTCGCCCTCTCCTCCTCTTCCTCCCCCTGCTGCTCATGCCTCCCTCCCTCATTCATTCACTACTCCTTCACTCCTTCACTCGCTCCCTCCTTCCTCCTCCCTCGCTCCTTCACTCACTCACTCCTTCCCCCTCCCTCACTCCTCACTCCCTCCCTCCTTCACTCCTCCCTCTCCCTCCCTCCCTCCCTCCATCCCTCCCTCCTGCACTGCCCTCTCCTGCTCCTCCTGCTACTCCTCTCCCTCCCCCCCTGGTACCAGGAGGTGCCGGATGGAGGATTCGGGAGCGAGGAGCAGGGGGAGCAGGAGCAGGGCGAAGGAGGGGGGGGCGTGGCGGGGGGAGCAGGATGGACAGGCGCAAATGTGGAGCGAGGGAGCGAGGAGCGTAGCTGCAGGGAGGGAGGAGTCGGAGCAGAAGCGGGAGAGAAATGTCGATGATGATGATGATGACGATGATGATGATGATGATGATGATGATGATGATGATGATGATGATGATGATGATGCTGATGATGCTGATGATGCTGATGATGCTGATGATGCTGATGATGGTGCTGATGATGATGTTGATGCTGATGCTGATGCTGATGATGATGATGCTGCTGATGATGTTGATGATGATGATGATGATGGTGATGGTGATGGCGATGGTGATGGTGATGGTGATGGTGATGGTGATGACTATGATCAAGATGATGCTGCTGATGATGATGGTGGTGAAGATGGAGGTGGTGATGATCATGATGGTGGTGTTGATGATGGTGATGAGGGTGTTGATGATGATGATGATGATGATGATGATGATGATGATGATGATGATGATGATGATGATGATGATGCTGATGATGATGATGATGATGATGATGATGATGATGATGATGATGATGATGATGCTGATGATGATGATGATGAGGAGGAGGAGGAGGAACATCACTTGGGATAATGAGCAGCAGCCAGGCGACGAGAAGAAAGGATGAGGTGGCATGCACCCTGGCTGTCGCCGCGGCGCTGAGGCCATGCCGCTCCGGCAATACCTCCTCAACAGTGTCGTCCCGACGCTCTCGGAGGGGCTCTCGAAGGTCTGCAAGGAGCCCAGGGTCTTCGGGAGAGGCCGTGAGTGTCAGTGGAGAGGTGCACGCACGAGTGCTGATGCGACGCGGGACGGTACCGAAGGTAATTTCGAACCTTCGTCTCGAGTCATCTGTCGCCCGTGGCCGAATGCGTGGACCTTCGGAGGTGCGGCCGGCTCTGGGTCCCAGCCCTGCTCGGCTTCCCGCCACCCCCAGGCTCAGCGTGAGCAGCGCAACCACGAGAGAATCGAGGCGGATCCCACGGTGGCCCCAAGCAGCCAGCTAGCAGCCAGTGCAGACCCTGCGGATCAAGGCAACAAACGCGCAGAGCGGCGTAAAGCGGTACGAATCTGGGCAAGGCGCTGCAAAGCGGCGCCGAGCAAAGCAAAACGATGCCAAGGTGGAAAAAGGATGCTGAAGTCACTGGGCGGCGACGGGGCAGCAACGGGGCGGAAACGGGGCGGCCTCCGCTCCTCCGTCCCTGCTCTCCTCCTCCCTCCGCCCCCAGCACTCCTTGAGCAACCGGAGGGCCCTCCGTTCGGATCCGCCCGCCCTCCCTCCCTGGGTGCCCAGCGGCTTGCTGCTGCCACTGAGCCGGTGCTGTGCCGCACGTGAGCCCGCCGGATCGAGCGGCTCGGGAGGCTTGCTCCCCGAGGTTCGTTAGCGCAGCATGTGTGTTTCACCGCCTGCTTTTCAGGGCCTGGGCCTTGGGACCCGGGCCAATGCACGTTCCCTGTTCCCTCCCCTCACTCCGCCCGCTGCCGTGGGCTGAGGATGAGCCCCACAGGAGAGCCGTTGCACTCTCCAGTGGTATTCAAGCCTGGAGAGTGCCGCGGCGGCCTGTCTGCGCCCTGGGACCGGGCCCCCTCCCTCCCCCTTGTGGCAAATATGTCTTGTGAGCATCGGAAGTAAACGAGGACGACTGCGCCGACCTTCGCGGGTCAGTTGCCCGCGGAAGGCCGCGCGCAGGCGCCCTCGCAGCGTGCCGCGCCGTCGGCCCGCGCAAGTCACCGCGTGAGGTCGTCATGCTGCCTCGCGTGAGACTCCCTTCCTTTTCGTCGCTCGTTTGCTTAGATCTCAGAGTGCGAGTGGGGCCCGAACGTTCTGACTTCCTCCCTGCGCGCGCGTGGCGGCACGGAGGGCCCGGCTGGGGGGGGGGCTACACGCTGGGGCCGCATGCGGGGTCTCCTCTTCTGGTGGGGGCTGCACTTCGGGGCCACACCTGGGGGGCTACACACAATCGGGGGCTACTCTCGGAGGCTGCACGGGGGGCAGCTCCCCTGCGCCGCCACACCCCCCTCGCTCTAGGACGGGCAAGTGCGGGGGTGCCACGCGTCGGGATTCTGCGCGCCAGAGGCCCGGCTTCAGGGCCTCGGGAACACCAGGCCGCCCACAGCCCACAAAAAAGCCCTCGGTCCCCCTGCCTCCCCCTCCCTTCCCGGGGCAGCCAGGCGTGGGGCCTTTGCGGCTCTCGGCCCCAGTCCTTGGACCGTTTGGCTTCGTCGCCGGCCTGTCTCAAACCCCAAATTCGGACTCCACCAGGCAGGCCCAATCAGGACGAGGATCGCCCGGGGGCGTCTCAGAGCAGTCTGGATCGTTCTGGGGCCTCCGCGGCGCCCGATACGCCACCCAGACCAGCCAGCTCTCGGCGAACTCCCCACCGATCCTCCTCCGAAGGTGTCCCCCATCCCGCCGTCGCCCCGAGGCCAGAGCTCCAGAGGACCTTGCCGCCGCGACGCCTCCTCGGCGTACAGTCGGGGCGCTCAAGAAGGAACCCTTTTCGTTGGGGAGGGGCTCGGTGTTCCTTAGTTGTTTTGCAGTTCGCCTTTGGTTCTGCTTAGGGCTTCGATGGGAAATCGAAGTTTCACTTACGGGAAAAAGGGGCGTCGTTCCTTATTCAGGGTTCCTTAGGTCAACGCCCCGACTGTACGGAGGTCTGCCCCCCCCCCCCCCCCCCCGGCGCCGCAGCGCGGCAGAGGTGCTCCCCGGCAGCTCCCGCGAAGGCGCGGAAGGACGGAGGGGAGGACCGAGGACGAGGACGAGGAGGGGAGGAGGAGGAGGAGGAGGAGGACGAGGAGGAGGAGGAGGAGGAGGAGGAGGAGGAGGAGGAGGAGGAGGAGGAGGAGGAGGAGAGGAGGAGGAGGAGGAGGAGGAGGAGGATCCCCGGCGCCGCAGCGCGGCAGAGGTGCTCCCCGGCAGCTCCCGCGAGGGCGCGCGGGTCCGCCCAGGGCCTCTCGGGGCAGAGCCGGGGCCGTGGCGACGCGTGCTCCCCGGGAGGAGGCCCCGGGTCCCGGCACGCTCTCCGCGCCGGGCCCGCGAGGAGGAGGAGGAGGAGGAGGAGGAGGAGGAGGAGGAGGAGGAGGAGGAGGAGGAGGAGGAGGAGGAGGAGGGGGAGGAGGAGGAGGAGGAGGAGGAGGAGGAGGAGGAGGAGGAGGAGGAGGAGGAGGAGGAGGAGGAGGAGGAGGACGGGGTGCCTGACGGTGGCCCCCGATGGGAAGGGGTCGGGAGTTGACGGGGCCGCGGACCGACAGCGCCTCATCGTCGGATGCTCTCGCCGCCGCGGAGATGCCGGGCCTCCCAGGCCCCCCCCCCTCGTTTTTGTTCTTGCACCAAACGCAGCCCCAGAGACACCTCTCGCGAACCAGCGGGCACTGTGATCAAGTCGCACTGCCACCAAAACGTGATACAGCACCACGAAGCAGAAGGGAGGGGGCTGAGGACGAGGCGGAAGACGAGGAACGAGAACAAGTAAGAAAATGCGCGAGATACTCAATGATCCGCCCTCGGCCTTCGGGCAGCTTCACAAAAGAGCAGTCCTCCGGAAGAACTCTGCAGGTCCGTCCTTCCGCCCTTCCTCCCTAGACACATCCCACGCCTCGATTTGTTCCACAACGTGGCTCGCTCTTGGCCCCTGCCCAGGGACCAGTTGTTCGTCACTCCGGCCTTGGGTCCTGGGGCCCGGCGAGGGCCTCCAGAGGGGGGAGCGCTGCCCAAAAGCCCCCCATCATTATTTTCTCGCGGCGCGGGGATGTCGGGGCCCCCTCGAAGATCCCAGCGAGGACCTCCCGGATGGCTTATTTGACTGCCGACTCCTAGAACGAACGGGCATCCTGTCTCTCCCCGCCCTCCTCCTCCCCCCTCCTTCTCCCCCACCCCTCCGCTTCGTCTTGCCGCCCTTGGTATCGCTCGGACGTGTGCACTTTTTCTCGGCGGGGATTATCAGGGAGCATCCTGGATCATCCTGCGAGAAAGCCGCGCACGAAACCGAACAAAAACACAGGGAATGGACGTCCGAGGGATGCCCCCTCCTCCTCCTCCGCCCCCCCCCCTCCCAGGAGCAGCCCGACGACCCCATCGAATTCCTGGCGCAGTACCTCTTCGCGCACGCCCAGGCCCCGTCGGCCCGCCCCCCCCCCGCGTGGACAGCGAGAGGGGCGCTCGAGCGCGTCGCGCGGACGGCGAAGTTCTACCCGGGAGGCATGCGCAGGAGGGGCAGCGAAGCAGAGGAGCTTGAGGAGGTGGAGGAGGCGGGGAAGAGAATCACGAGGAGAAAGGAGGAGGGAGTTGGGAGAAAGAAGAGAGGATAACATATATATATAGAGAGAGAGAGATACGTGGGGCAACTTATGTGGTTAACTTTACATGGTGCAATCGAAGTGCTGTACTATTTGTTGTGCAACGTCTGTGCCACAATCTTCGTGGTGCAATATATGGGGTCAGACTTATGATGTGCAATCTTTGTGTAATATGTATTGGAATCGATTGTGTTGCGTCCGCAGGGGTCGTGCTACCTATGTGACATCCTTCTAGTGTAACGAACTGTGGTTTTGTGACGCGTGACCACCTCCCATGCTCGCGCAATCACCACGCCCGCCCACCCGCAACTTGGTTTGCAGCACCCACGCAGCGGCGATTGCGATGGCTGCTTGGCGCTGGCTGGTGCATCGCTGCGGCCGCGCCAGCGCGCGGAGGCTCGCGCGCAGAGCGGCCACCTGGTCTGGCGTGACCGACGCGGCCGCTGTGGCGTCGACCGCTGGGAACTTCCCAGCACGTCTCGCAGGCCGCGTTGTCGCGCGAGCACGTCAGTGCTGCGAGTCAGTGACTCGGGCGGTCGCGGTATCATGGCGACGTCGACAACTGGAGACACGATTCTGATCGTAACAGTGCCAGTAACGATGGTGACATTGACGACGGCAATGGCAATGATGGTGCCGATGCTGACCGCGCCGATAAGGATGATTGTGTGTGTGTGTGTTCGCGTCGGCGATGGAGGTAAAGTAAGGGTTTCGACGTGCGCGCGCGGCTGACGCGCGAGAGTTGCCCGCATAGTTCGGTTCGACAGGGATCGTCTCCCCCCAATCACACGCGCAAAGGCGTTCAAATGATCCCGGCACGCGCGCGCGAGAGGCACGGTCGGTAGTTGTGGAAGAAAATTGTGACAACCCGGTGGCTTGCTCAAGATTTTGCAAGATCGCGTCCGCAGGTGTTGTGTCACAATTTGTGGCCACGAAGACACAATTTGTTGATCTGTGTTCGCGACGCTCGCAGTTGAAGTTTTTCAAAACTTACACAATTGTTAGGGGTTGACATGCGCGCGCGACCACGCGCGCTTTTGCTTTTCGTCCCATGCACAACCGGGACACAAGTTTCTTCAACTTGCCACGATGTTGATACTTCATATTCCTCCCAACATTCCCAACATGACATGATGACTGCGTCATTCGGCGGAGTCGTTTCCGATCCGCTCAATACTGGCAACCCTGTTACCCCCGAGCCGGATCGAAACCCTATGAGTCCTCGAGCGGGATGCGCCCACGCGCGGAGTAGGTGGAGTATTTCTACGCCGATGTACTCCGCGCGGACGCGCTATTGGCGAAGGCAGATTGAAACAAACTTTCGCTTTGAAGATGTATGATGCCAGGGATTATTGCGACGGCGCGCGCGCAAGGGCTTTCGAATGATTCCGACATGCGCGCGCGAGGGGCACTTTCGGTCGCATGCGATATAAGTCGTGAGAAACATAGTGTTTTGAAAGAGTCGCGAGACCGCGAGCGCACGCGGTCTTGCACATTTCCATTGTGAAACCTGTGTTTCCCAAGCAGTACTTGCTCTTAGGGGCTTTTTCTTGGCTGAGCCATCTCGGGGCCAGGGGCGGCTTTTGCGGGCGGTGCCGCCCGTCGCGGCCGTCGCCGCTCGGGGCGAGTGGCCGCTTCGCGGTCGGCGCCGCCCGTCGCCGCCATCGTCGTCGCATAGATTTTGACAAACAACAAGAATTAGGACCCCCCCCCTTGTTTACCGGTGCACTCTTTTGTATGGCAATTTACATGCGATTCTGCACCATCGCCCATCCTAAATATGAGCTCGTACCATCTCAGCCAAGCCGGGGTCGGCCCTGCCCGGCAACCTCTGCAAAAAATATTACGCGCGCGTATTTGGTTATCACAAACCAGCAAACCAAAGTGCACGCGCGCGCGTCGTCGCGCGTGCATGCCGGAATCCTTCAACAACTTCTGGTTCCGGAAGGATTTCGCAATCGAGTTCCCGAAACACACATAAACGCACGTAGTTTCGCAGCTCGGATTTTTACATATATATATATATACACACTTGAGCGCGCGCTCTGGCGAATTCTGAACACAACCATCGGTTTTTCAACATCCGGAAACATTGCCCAACAGGTCTCGCGCGAGCGCACGCCGAAATCGTCCGAACGCCTTTGCGCGCGTGCCGTCGCGAGAATCCTTTGCTACAAATGGGGTGATGGGCGCGCGCGCATGCCAGCGAACATTCGGTTCCGTGGCGATTGCAATGCCGAATGTCCACATCGCAATAATATAACACGGTTGCGCAACATCAGTTTTCAAAAAGACTCGCGCGCGCTCTTGCACAGCTTAACATAACGCGGTTGTTCAACATGTTCGTGGATTTCCGCCAAACGGGCGCCTGGCGCCGCATGCCGACCTCTGCGCGCGCACTGGTGGTGGGGGGGTCAAATATAACCCCGCGGGCCACTCTCGCGCGTCGGCCGCGCGCGCGTCAAACTCTTTCCAAAACCTTCATCGCCGACGCGAGGGCGCCGTGATCGTCGTCGGCGCGATCAGCATCGGCGCCCGCGGTGGGCGCGCCGTCGTCGGTGCGAACGTCGTCGCCAGCATCGCCGCTATCATCGTCGCGTCTACCGCAGTCGGCCGCGACGGCCGCGCCATACTGGCTGGCCGGCGCGCGCGCCAGGGTTAGCGCGGCCGCAGAGATGCACCAGCCAAAGCCAAGCATGCATCGCAATCGCCACCGCGTGGGTTTTGCAAACCAAGTTGCGGGTGGATGGGTGGGATGTTTGCTTGTAGCGTGGGATGAGTCAACTCTTGGGTAAAATCAATGGCGCCACATCGTCAAAATAGATTGTGCCCCCCTCGGCTTTGTCGGTACATTTATTTGGCGTTGCAATTTTCATATGGGTTAGTCCCATCGCCCATTGTAAAGCTGAATTCATACCACCCCAGCTGCGGGGTTGACCCCCCCCCCGTCGTCCCGCGCAAAAAAAATATTATGCGCGCGCGCTCGTTTATCAAGAAGCATCAGGTGTCATTGCCCCCCCTCAAAAAAGTTGACGAGGTGCGCGCGCGCGCCGCGGCGCGCGCGTGCCGAAATCCTTCAAAACTTCTTGTTTTCGAGAGGGTGCCAAAACCGTATGTTCGAAGCACATATAAACGCACGTGGTTTCGCAGCGCGGATTTTCAACGAGAAAAAAGCGCTGGCGCGCGCTCTTGCGAATTCGGAAGAAAATCACAAGTTTCATCGCCCAGCGGGCTTCGCGCGCGCGCGTCGGAATCGTTCGAACGCCTTTTGCGCGCGTGCCGTCGCGAGAATCCTCTGCTACAGCTGGGGCGAACTGCGCGCGCGCGTCGTCTCGCGCGCGCGCTGGAACCCGTAGAAAACCTTCGGTTTCGGAAGGATTGCAGAAAAGAGTTCCCAAGACAAAATCAAAAACACACGGTTTCGCAACGTCAGTTTTCAAACTAGCGCGCGCGCCCGCTCTTGCGAATTCTTTTGGGAACCATCGATTTTGAAAACATGTTCATGGAATCCTGCCAAGCGGGCCTCTGGCGCCGCATGCCGACATCGTTCGCGCGCCCCTGCGCGCGCGGGGGGGGGGGGGGGGGGGGGCGCGATCCGCGTCAGATAATGCTGCGCGGGCCACTCGCGCGACGGCCGCGCGCGCATCTCGAACTTTTTCCAAGACCTTCATCGCCGACCCGAGGGCGCCGTCATCGTCGTCGGCGCGATCAGTATCCGCGCCGTCACTGGCCGTGGTGGTCGCTGTCAGCGTCGCGACCAGCATCGCTACTATCATCGCCTTGTCTACCGTTGTCGACGTTGCCGCGATGCCGCGCCCGCCCAAGTCGCCGACTCGCAGTGAAGCGCCCGCTGGGATGAGCCCAGCGGTCGGCGCCGCCGCGGCCGCGTCGGCGGCCCCAAACGGGCTGGCCGCTGCGCGCGCGTGCTAGAGTCGGCGCGGCCGCAGAGATGCACCAGGCAACGCCAAGCATGCATCGCAATCGCCACCGCGTGGGTTTTGCAGACCAAATTGCGTGCTGGAGGGGGGTGGCACGATCCGTGTCAAATAGAACCACGCGGGCCACCCTCGCGCGTCGGCCGCGCGCGCATGTCACAGTCTTACCAAAACCTTTTATCGCCGACGCGGGGGCGCCTTCATCATTCTCGGCGTGATCGGCATCCGCGCAAGCACTGGCCGCGCCGTCGTCGTTGTCGACATCGTTACCAGCATCGCTACTACCATCGCCTTGTCTACCGTTGTCGACGTTGCCGCGATACCGCGCCCGCCCAAGTCGCCGACTTGCATTGAAGTTGAAGTGCCCGCTGGGGCGCGCCGCGGCCGCAGGGAAGGACCAGCCAACGCCGAGCATGCATCGCAATCGCCACCGCATGGGTTCTGCAAGCTGCGGGTGAGTGGTGGGATGTTTGCGCGAGCAGTGTAGGTGGTCAAGCGCGGTGCAGGGTAGTCAGTTCTCTTTTTTCAAATTAAGAATTCGGATCCCCACCCACGGTGTTATCGGCGCATGTTTTTGTGTCGCAACTCACACACGATTCTGCCCCATCGTGCATCTGAAATCTGACTTCGCACCATCCCAACCAAGCCGGGGTCGACCCCCCCCCCCGCCATGCTCTGCAACAAATGCTACGCGCGCGCACTTGTCATCACAAATTACCATTGGAATGAACCCCTTAAAAAAAAAAAGAAGAAAAAAAAAAAAAAAAAAAAAAAAAAAAAAAAAAAAAAAAAAAAAGAAAAAAAAAAAAAAAAAAAAAAAAAAAAAAAAAAAAAAAAAAAAAAAAAAAAAAAAAAAAAAACAAAAAAAAAAAAAAAAAAAAA